AATAATGGGGAGTCAGGAATATTGCTGGGGAAAATGGACATTGCTGTTAGCCAGTGTGAGGAACATTTGGACAAGATCTGTCTAATTCCAGCAATTTGTCCTCATGAAATCATCAGTACAGCTATTTACAGATACCTGCTGGGGTGTTTCAAATACTAAGCAGTTTAAATGTTAATATTTTTCACTTTATGCTGTTCACGCTGGCCTTGAGCTCACTTTGTAGCCCAGGCTGGTCTTGATCTTGTAACGATCTTCCTGCCTCAGCCTCCTGAGTGCTGGGATTACTGGCATGTGCCACCACGCCTGGCTAATATTTTTCACTTTAAGCAAAGCTATGAAATTAAACGATAAATTGACAAGTCATAAATTATATCTGCTGGAAAATAATAGATAAGCAGTGTCTCCTTGTGATTAGGGGCTGATCTACAGCTTCAGTCTTATTCTGAAGTCACTTTCCTATTGTAAAAGGTAAACATGCTGTTCCTTTCAAAAACACAAATCTATGGCAGCTGTGGGTAAGCTCTGGCTTGGGATGGAGCATGCCTGTCCATAAAAATGCTGAGCCAATTATAAGTTGTGGAAATGTGAAATTAGAGGAAAAATACGTTTGTCTAAAACTGTTCCCTCACCCTCTTTGTCAGTCTTCTTTTTCCCTTCTTTTTTTAAAGTCAGTTCTTGCTAAGACTTTTGCACTGAAAATTATCTGAAATTAAATAGACTAGCATATTTATTCACAGTTATCTGAAAGGGTCCTCTGTTTACTTTCAGTTAGGGTTCCCTTCTAATAAAGGAACCAAGATTGGAAGGCAAGGAATGATTAGCCTCATTTTCCTGACACAGAACTCTGTCTCCCTTATGTGTAGACTTAACCAACGTGCACTAACACATCACTCATGCTCTTACTGAAGGTTGAAAATTACAGGCGCTGCACCGCCGAGAGGGGCATGTTCAGGAAGCTGTCTCTTTGCCTACCTGGGAGGACAGATTCTAGGAAAATAGCTTTGCTTTTGGTCTGAAAAATAATCATAAATGAAGACAGTGGATTTCATATCTTTTGTTATATCCTTTTTCTGGTCATGTTTTTGGTTATTCTGGGCTGGGGCTTTTCCTTTCTTATTTTCTTACTCTGCCTGTGTACGTGTGCATGTATGAGTGTGTAGAGGCGTGTGTATGGATGTATATATAAGACATGGGTATGTAAAAATAGAAGATATATATATGTGTGTATATATATGTATGTGTGTATATATATATATATGTATGGGAATTAAGTAAAAGATCAAAATGAAGATAGAAGGGAATGAAGCTCTTTAAATTTAAGTATGGTAACAAAAGTGACATGTTTTCCTGAAAAGTAAAAAGAGAAGCATGATTAATACCTATTAAACTTTTCTGTTGTATTTCTCTAAAATGCCATACTAAATAAAGTAGTTTAGGTAGCTTAAATGATTTATTAATCAATTGATTGATTGTGATGCTAGGGATTGAACCCTGTGGATGCTAAGCAGGAGTTTTAACCCTGACTCTGGTCAACATATTTAAATCTTGCTTTAATATTAATATTTTGCCTTTTATGATAGCATTCAATTTAAAACTAATTGATGAGCCTTTGCATGTCATTTTCCCTTTCCTGCTGGCATCTGTGTTATGGGTTTACCGGGAAGGCCTTTAAGGTACATTCGAGTAGCTGGAGACATAAGAGAGGCTGAATCTATTGCTAAAATGTAGACACATTTAACTGTTTTCTGATGCATGCATGAATGGCTTTATCCTTTACCACCCTGGTAGGCAGATGCTATTACCTGTATTTTAGAGAACATGAGGCCTAGAGAAGTTCTCTGGAATGCCCCTAGGATGTGCAGCTGGTACATCGGCAACAGAGCCCATTGCTGGCCGGCACCTGCCTTCCTGTCCTCTGCTCCCTGGCCCTGGAACTGTCTCACTCCTTTGTTTTGTAGAGTGAAGGTATTGGTCCAGGCTTCATCACCTGTGCAGATTCTGCATGATTGGTAGTCACTGCCGAACACCCGAGTGTAAGAGTAAAAGTGACCAGTGACCTGTGCCTGGCAGGGAGCAGGTCCATGATGCTGGAGTCCCAGCTCCAAGGCCATCCCTATGTGGTGTTTTTCCTTCTGCCCCTTAGAATGTACACTCTAGTCAAAATGTGAAGTGTGCCATGCAGCTTTGTTGAACATTGCATGAAAAAGGTAGAACAGAAATGATAGTGGGGTTTTGTTCTTGCCCTTTCTATGACCTCAATTCAGTAAACTTTCACCAAGCACCGATTTCCTTTCCTTCCTCTCATCCTCTTCTCTTCCCCTCCCCTTCCTTTCCCTTCCCCTCCTCTCTCTTCCCCCTTTTCCTCCTCTCCCTTCCCTCTCTTTCCCTTCTCCCTCCCTTTCCCTTCTTCCCCCTCCCCTCCCCTATTTCTTTGCAGGGGATGGAACCCCAGGGCCTCATAGATGCTAGGTAAGGGCTCAAGCTATAGCCCTAGCACTTTTTATTTTTTATTTTGAAACGGTGTCACTAAGATGCCTAGACTGATCTGCAACTTGGGATTCTCGTGCCTCAGCCTGCTGAGGTGCTGGTATTACAGATATGTGTCACTGCTCATGCTGGTCCCCACTGTTTGACATTCTTACAATCTCACTTTAGAAATCTGACCTTCTCCCTTTTCCCCACACTCCTGTTTATGATGAAAGTAAAACTTCAGCGACTTACAAAGTAAGTAACTCAATTAAGTAAACAGTCTAAAATTCAAGTTTTAACTGTAATTAGCTGATTAGAAAGTTTTCTACTGTATTTGCTTTGGATTAGGTATTTATATTCTAGTTATATCCACTTCTAGTGCCAACACTTTGTAGTGACTAAAGGAAAATCCTAGTAATTGTGAAGGAATTTATTGTTCTACCTGCTTATCCTGTAATTGCCTCCCAGGAGGCAAGAGCCATGGGAACCCCAGATTAGAGCACTATGAAATACAGGCATTCAAGCTTTCTGGTTAGAATAGCTACTGTGTAATTTTTGTGCCAAATCACAAGTGCTGTTATTCCGAATCACAGCCTGGGTGACAGAGTCGAGAATGGAGGATTGGGGATGGGGGACAGGATAACTGGGTTCTGCCCACTAAGAAGAGACCCTTGCTTGGGAAATGCTGTGCCAGTGTCTGCAAGGGAAGAGTGACTTACAAGCTCCGGGGCCCTTTCCCGTGTGCTTTGTGGAGACCACGCCACGGCAGGGATCCTTTTTCTGGATTCTCACGTGTCTCCAATATTCCAGGAAGCAAGAGGAACAGAATAACGAGCAGCCTTTTCCCTGGTCTTTTACATAGAAGGCTGCATTCTCTCTGTGGGTGGGAGTTTAGACTTCACATGTCCTTGTCCCATCTCGGGGTGACCATCTCCCCTTTTGCTTCCCTCATCCCTTTTGTGAGGTACTGGTGGACTTCACGACTGGTTGTGTTTTTCTTCTCCTCTTTACCTCTGTAATCCAGCTTCATAGTGAGTCTGTTCCTCTCAAACCCATCAAGTAATCAATGATCTCCTTCAATTACAGTGATTTGGGAGGGGTCGCAAAAATACCTAATCAGGTGAACTTTTTCACTCCTTTCTTCATATCTTGACTCTTATTAAACTCTGAATCCACAAGGTGAATCACACAATTCCATGTATACTCTTTGATGATTCTTTATTTTTAATGTTAGTTTCTCAAACCCAATGCTAATAATTATTCACTTCTTTTATATCTCCTAAAATTCAGCAGACCAGTTATTTCAAATTTGCATTTTGTTAAAAAATGCCTCTATGTTTAAAAAATTTTTTTATTGGTTCAATTTGATCAATATTCTTTATAAAGAGAATATATTTGTATGCATTGAAATGTATACTTATGTTTTATTTTGCACTGTTTCTGATGTAGAAGACATGCAATGTTTTAATCAACACACTGTTTTCTCTCCTTCAAGTCTGGGATTTGGAGGGAATGTCAGGGTTGGTTAGATGGAGACAGAGCATTGAAGGCACATCTTACTGAAATGCTGAATGGTGGGGAGAGTCATCACTCATCTAGAAAGGAAATAAAACTAGCAACAGATAAGGAACAGATCAAGTGAAGTGGGAATTGACTGAGAAAAGGAACATCACGCCCATGTGTGAAAAGAAAGCCGTCAGCTGGCACAGGCACTAGAAGTGGACATGGGCTTTATTTAAATAGTTAAAAATTATTTTAGTAAAATATCATATGACCCTTGATAAAAGTACAAATTTGAGACCATACCCTGAAGCTCATTTTGTATGTTCAAAATCATGAAAGCATTGAATTTCCTTGGAGGCTCTGTCATTTATGCCACCCTGGAGTCCTGTGAAAGCTGGGTGACTGGTCTGGAATATGCCCAGGCATGTTTAACTCCATGCCTCCCCTAATTTAGTTTTCTTTTTTATTTAACAATAGATGCTGTCTTTGCTACAGGTATGTTGTTAGCTTATGCTTAAAATACAAAATATTTTATCATTTATAATGGGAAAATTTATCATTTATATTTTAAGTGTGTTTATGATGTTTTAAATTTTTTCTTATCAAAGGTGTTCACTAATCATTCTGAGACAAATTGTCTTTATGATTTCTTGCTTATATTGCTTTGTTTTACAGTTATTCTACTCAGTGATTTCTGAAAAGAGCTCTTATGATTTAGAACCAAATAAAGTTAATATTATAATTGGATAAAAGATATTTATCTAAATTACTGTTTTATAAAGTTGCATAGTATGTTTTTCTGTTATTAAATATACTTGTGATAGTACTGTGGTGAATACAATCTGACCCAACTTTGAGGGGTTTTGTTTTAGTTTGGTTTTTGTGGTGCTGGGGACTGAACCCAAAGCGCTGCTTTTGCTAAGTTCTACCACTAAGCTGTATCTCCTGCATGACATTGATTTTTATTTTTGTTTTGGGGGGTTTTCTATTTTAGTTATTGCTAAAAGTATATTTTTTTAAATTTGCAGCTGGTTTTAGAAGAAGTTTCCGTCTTAGCAGAAAAGATAAGAAAACAAATAAATCCATGTATGAATGCAAAAAGAGCAATCAATACGATACTGCTGATGTTCCCACATACGAAGAAGTGACACCATATCGGCGACAAATTAACGAGAAATACAGACTCGTTGTCTTGGTTGGTGAGTGTACTTTTGTATATAATTTTGAGGAAATACATGAAATAGTAAGAATTTAACCCCAAAGTGCATATAGTTGAAGCTACGCATCCCCTCCCCTCAAACACTCTTTGCTTAGTGTTTAAAATGAAAACTGTAGTTTTTTGTGCTTGTGTATTGTTCAGAGACTTTTAAGGTATCTGTGAAAAATGGTCTTGATGTGTCAGTGGGCCCTCTGTTGGAGAAGGCTGGCAAACATCTCTGTGATGCATGAACCATAGCAGGGCAACTAACTAAAAGACGTGTTTTTTAATACAATTCAAGTTTTTTCAATTCATTTTGAGGCAGGCGGTATGGTATAAGCTTCCAGTGCATTTAGACTTTCAGCAAAATAGTTATTGCAGACTTCAAGGATAGTTATTTCAAGCTTGAGAGTCAGTTAACAAAAACTGCTTTAAAGTAGGTAATAAATGCGTGTGGATATTTCCCCCAAACATGGGGTTTTCCCCGCAGTAACATTCAAGCATTTACCTTGTCCAGCCTTCGTGGATGTGGGAGGCCACAGCCTTGTGTTACTCTACCCCGCCCTCACTGTGGTGCCTTAAAAATGTGCTGAGAGGTATGTCAGCTTTGAGGGTCTGAGCCAATGATTTTGGAAAAGCTTTGGAATAGAAAGAGCACACTGTCTCTTGTTAATTATTCCTTTGTGAACTCAAGATGACAGTTATGGGGGGTGAGAATAATAAATGGAAAAGCTGAGGAATTACTCCATCTCAGTGAGAAGAAACCTTTGGAAGGTTTCAGTATGTGAGTTCAGGCAGTGGTGCGTGGCTGTGGAGATGATGTGTTTCTCACATCTCATGTTGCTGGAAGTGATTATTAGCTTCTTCAGATACCAAAATTGTTTGCGTAGTTTAGAAATACATATTCATGCACTTCAGAGCCTCCCTTTTCAGCAGTGTTTACATCTCATCCGTGTGTACTGAACCTCCCCAAATCATACCTAGAAGAATATCTCTCTAGGTTTGTTTGTTTGTTTTGTTTTTTTGAGATAGGGTCTCACTATGTAGCCCACGCTGGCCTCAGCTCATAGCAATCCTCTTGTAGCCCCCAGAGTGCCGGGATTACAAGCATGCACTCCCACTCCTGATGGTGCTTGTGTTTATGGAGGGCTCACAGTGCTTCCAGTTCTCGTTTCCAGTTCCAGTGCAGCCATGCTAATGGCAGTATAAGCATTTCGTGGTTTACACAGAGCCCAGTGGTTGTGTGTAAGTCCTGCATTCCCTCATTGGGCTACTTGAGATCTCCCATCTGTCTTCCAGCCATCGTCCCTACTGTGCCTCCCCTTCACGGCTCTGAGCTCAACAGTGTCTCTCCCTTTCTCTTTCCTCTTCTCTAGAGCCACATCCCCAGGGACCTAGTCCTCCAACCAGGCCCCCCTCTGAGCAACACATTCAGCTGTGAACTCACCACTGAATCCATTGGTGAAACTGGTACCCTTGTGATCAAATCACCTTCCAAAAGCCCCACCTCTGAATTTAGGAGCCTTTGCGGGGACATTTTATGTATAAACCATTGCACTCTGCCTCTTAAAGACTCGTGTCCATCTCATTATGAAAAATGCATTCAGTCCATTTGAGTTGCTAAAATATCAGCAATTCCAATGTTTCCCAAAAGTTCAAAATCAAAGTCTCTTCAGAAACTCAAGGAAAACTCTCAACACTTAAACTTCTGTAAAACTCAAATAGCAAGTTACATACTCGCAGAATATACAGGCACAAGGTAAGCATTTCCATTCTCAAAGGGAGGAACAGGGAAAAGAAAGGCGTAGAACCAAAACAAGACTGAATGCCAGGAGGGCAAACATTAAATCCTGTAGCTCTGTGGTTGGCATCTGGGGTAAGTGCTGCAAAGGCCTTGGGCAGCTCTGCCTCTGTTGTCATTTTGCACTCCATATGATCACTCTCTTGACAGTTCTGTTTACTGTCTGCAGGTTTCCTTAGCAGGAAAGGTTCCATGTTTCATGTTTCTAGCATACTTAGCTTTCCAGAGTTTTCATTGAAGCTTTAATTCACTCCCATAGCTTCACACATTTCCCTTTTAGGGACCTCTGCCAGGGACTCTGAACCTGTCACACATTGCTTACCCTTTCAGGCCTTGCTTTGAAGTCTGAGTGGAAACCTCTGTGACTCTACAACTGTGCATCTCATGTGCCTACAATCAGCATCAATGGGTGATGCCAAGGTCTATCTCTAGTTCAAGAAGTAGCTGACCCTCTTGGGTCATGGTTGCAGTAGCCTCTGAATGTTTGGATGGCTGAGTATTGTGTAATGAATCCCAGGGGACCAATTCCCCAGGTGGCCCTTCTTGAGCAGGAGGCCAAGGGACTTTCTTCGAAGATGAAGAACCCTTGAGTCTGCCCTAAATCGGGTCTTAGTGACTTCTTAGATGCCCTCAAGGTTTCTTTTTGTCCCAGTGCAAAGTACTTAGCTACTTTGTAATAGTGATAATCACTTCAGCGTCCACTTTCTTTGACCCTAACTTTACATATGCTTCATTTCTGGCCAAACTTTTTAAGTTTTTCAAATATTTCTTATCTACTTTTTGTTGTGAATTCTCACTGTAAATCTGGATAAAAGCAGCTAGTGGTACTCATGCCACAGCCTGAACATTGGACTGCCTTGAAATTTCCTCTGCCACATCGATTAGTTCTTCACCTTTAAGCTCACTTTCCACAAAGACTCAGGACATGGTCAAAATGTGGTAAGTTTTTTGCCAGAATGTGATTCAAATGGTCACTAGTCTAATTTTAGTAGAGTCCCTGTTTCCACCTAAAACCTCCTAAGTAGTCTTTATAGTCTCCACTCCCATCAGTATTCTGGTCTTCTGAGTTTATACCAGAATTGCCCATCAAGCTCTGCTTACAGACTTCTAAGGCTTCTGCAACCCAGTTCTGCAAACTTTTCCAAACTCTTGCCACAAAATTGTGCCAAAGACTTCTGAATCACATGTGCAGATATAGTCATAACAATATTCCTACTTCTTTGCTCTCAATTTCTGTTTTAATTACCTTTCCATTGCTGTGACCAAAATATCTGACGTACACAACGTAAAGGAGAAAAGCTTTATTTTGGCTCATGGTTTTAGCAGTTTTAGTCCCTGGTTAGCTGGCCCCAAGGCAGAAACATCATGACAGAAGGTCATGGGGGAGGAAGGCTGTCCACGTCATGGAAGCTGGGAAGCAGAGTGAGTAAGGAAGAGTCTGATGGAGAGGATATACCATTCAGAGGATTGTCGCTAGTGACTTACTTATTCCTTGTAAGTAGGACAGCACATTTAGCTGTGAGCTAATCAATGGGTTACTCTTTGATGAGGTTAGCACGCATCTGTCTAATCACCTGCCAAAAGTCGCACCTCTGAATATATGAATCTTGTGGGAAAATTTTTAATATAAATCATGACAACCAGTGAATTTCAGAAGTATTCTAGGCTGGTTTTCCTCACCTGGAGTAATTCTCTTCCTATGAGAGTTAAGGTCAGCCTGCATTCCTAAGGTCACTTTTCAGTGTCTGCTAGGCCACCATGGGTCTGTCAGATAAGTGGCTGTTGGCCTACTCAGAGACACATGGGGTGGATTGCATGTTAGTTCATTTCTCAAGGCTTTGTGGTGGTACTGGGGGTTCATCACACTCATGCACAGCTTTGGGAACACGTGTGGAGACTGAGTTCAACCAAATAGCCACACCCTGGCCACTCCTCCACTCTATAACTTTGACAAGTCATACTCTGAGTAAAGCCCAAGATGAGAGGGGAGAGATACAGTTGGAAAAGTCATCCCACTGGAAGTTGCTTGTCATATTTGAATCCTTTCTACACTCCAGCTGTTATTATTTGCTTTCCAGAATCCTCAGGTAGTTGCTTTTTGTATACCCCCCAGAGAGTTTGTCTGTAGAAGTGAGGATGTGGGATCTAGTGAATGTTCCCCACCAAAGTGCTGCCTGGGCTTCCCAAAGCAATAATGTCTTCTCACAGATACAGTTTGGTCTCATTTCATGGCTGTACATTAGGCAGCCTAATATCAGAATTTATTGTTTGGAGAAATCCCTATCTCTAAGTGCCATGAGACAGGGTCATGTTGAAGCTAAGAAGTAAGGCTCTGGGGTAGGAGGCAGCACCCCAATTCTGCTGTACCCTTCAATGGTCCCGTGATGGTTGTACCAGTTGCATTCACTCTGGGCCTCAGTTTCTCCATCTGAAAGGTGGGTCCCATTCTAAGTTTGTCTTAGGGTTAAGAGAAGGTAGATCCCAAGAAGTTTGTTTTAGGGTTAAACAAAATAATCCATGTGACGACGAAGACTAATTTATAGCAGCTAATAAGGTTTTAAGAAAGAATCATTTGCATATATTACCTTAAAATGCTAGTGAGATAAATATAGCATGTTCAGTATGAGTAGGCTCCTATTGACTTTGACCTTCAGTGTTCAAAACACTTACAAATTAGATAATTTGGCAGTTTATCATCAGATAGAGGTAATCAAGCATTGGACACATACTTTGGGAGCTCTAGATTGCTCCTGAATTAACTGTGTACTTTTCATGATTGTTAAAAAAATGTTTATTTTGGATGTATTTCCTTGGCTCCACCAGTACATACAGGAAGACAGAAAGACTAGTAAATATCATGGTCTTCCTCCAGTCTAATTGTTTCTACCTGGTGCTTGCAAAAGCAATGGAGAAATATTTCCCTTGAAACTGTTGGATAACTGTTTCTACTTGGGGAGGTACAGAGTATTATTTTTGTTGTATTATTACCATAGTATTACATGATTTTTATTCTTCAATCAAATGTTCAAGAAAGAAAAGCCCAAGTTAATACCAGGGCAAAAATATGACAATAGAAGACTTGGAACATTGGTCGAGTGTACTTAATTTTCCCTTTTTTCTGTCAATATGTTAATCACGAGTCCCACTTTAGCCACTGAAAGAGATCCATGATATTTTCTTTTAAATTGTCTTCTTCATGT